ATTAAAGTGAATTTTTAGTTAATAAATAAATAAATATACCCATGTATTTTATTTAATAATATTTAAAATACTAAACAAAAAATAATGTGGTCGTCGTCTCCCACGATTAATAAAAAATAAATAAATGAGATGGTCGTGAGAGACGACCATCTCCTAACTTGAAAACAAATTACGCGGCGTCCTGGGTGGCGTCACTCTTTTAAAACCACTATATTTTTAAAAAAAGTTTCAAAACATACCATATTTTAAACAATTTTAATTAAAATACAATATTTTTAAAATAACTTTTATAATTAACATTATTAATAAAAAACACCCCAGTAAAAAGTTACAAAATCTTATGAAATTTTTAAACTCTTCAAATTCTAATATGAATTACAATTAAAGGAAAAATTAATTTTATGTCGTAGGAAAACTTTTTACATTCTAACCTTTTAAATCCTATACACTTATTAGTATTGATAATTAAAGGAAAATTATTTCCTAATTTTATATGGCAAGAAAATTTCTTGCATTCCAACTTTTAGATTCTATAAATTTATTAGCATTAATAATTAATAATTAATTTAATATTTATAATAATGTATTAATGACATAGTTTGTAAATTAATAAATTTAATAAGGGACAAAAGTCTCAAAAAAAAAAAAATTCTTATGTTCTCCCTTTTTAATCTATTTTTCTTTTATCTAATCACCACGACCCAAAATTATATTTTTTCTAATACAACAATATGTTACTATATTTTAAAAGGTGGTCAGAAAAAATATTTCATCAATATAAGTGATCTATGCTGATAAAATTTGGTTTTATCGAATAAATATTATTGCGATAGCTTAAAATTGTTTTTTATGAGTGATTGTGCATATATTATGTTTTTTCTAGAAAGTCTGTTTTTGCTAAACTGTTGTTTTTAAAGTTACTTCATGTTGAGTTTTACTATAAAAAAGTTGTGTTGAAAAGCTTCTAGGGCTTTTATTTCTTTTATTTATTTTTTCTTTAAAAATACAATCAACCTTGTACTTCTTTTCAAAAAAATAATTATTATGTATAAATAGTTGAGGAAGAGTTTTCTCATAGCTACTTAAAAACAACTTTCTATGTTTTTATAAGCGAGTTCAATGAAAACATGTTGGTATTTTTATTTTTGCATATACAAAATTTAAATTATATTTTAGCCCTAAACTTTGGATTTTTATTTTATTTTTGTTCTTGTATTTTTAAAAGTTTAAATTTTCATAAATACTTAGTACAACATGTAGGGGTGAGGGATCGAATAACTCACAACCTCTTGATTTGAGATATATGTCAAATTATCGTTTGGTTTTCTATCTTCAAATTACCAAATTGGAGAATCACTAAGGCTTTTCAGCGATTCGACGCGCCCCCCTAAGCTAGACGCTTCACCTATGAGCTATGCTCACTTTGACCATAAATACTTATTTTCATCCTTGAAGTGAAATTTTTGTATTACATTCATATGAAATCTTAGATCTAGATTCAGTGGACACAAATATATAGTTTAGGTACATATCTGTAACTTAAAATACACACAAATTTTTTTAGTATAAGACTTAACATTACATTTGAAATTAGGGATACCAAAATAAAATATGCTAAAAAATTTAGGTACCAAAATAAAATTAATTAAACAGTATAATAATTCAAAGATTAAAAAATTTGAAATAAATGTCTTCACTTCGAAGACAAAGCAAAGTGTTGGTAGGAAAAAAGGTTTATTTAATTCGTCAAAGAAACTATTCAAAACAAAAATTATAACACACGTGAACCCTTTAACTTTATATCCTTTCACATAGCTGTTTAACATTAAAAAAATATATATTATATAAAAAAATTAAGGTTTTAACATTTTCTTTTCTAGTTTGCTCCTAATTAATTTAAATCGAAAATTTATGTACATTAACCCTTTATTGTAAATAAAGGCAGTCTAGTAATGTTTTTATTTACTGTTTCGTATTCTCATTTCTCTTTTTCGAGAAACAGACTTGTTTGATAACTCATTTTTTCTAAAATTTTGAGAATTTTCCATTTCCAGTTTTATTTATCTATTTTTTTTTTTTGTGTTTAGAGTCATCTTTCTATAAATAGTATCTATTGTGCTTTCTATACTATAATGCACATTCAACCGGTTGATGATCTTGTTCTATTTCTCTCTTCAGTGCTTATAGCTTATTCACTAATTTTTTTAATATATTTTCTTAAAAATATATATATATTTTCTATTTATCAAATAAACATATTTTGAAAATTTATTATTTATTTAAGTTATTATATTTTCTTAAACATAAAATTAAAAAGATTCTAAAAATTTATTCCTTGTTTAAAGTTAATAATTTATGCTTTTATATCAAATAACTTTATAGGGTAAATTGTATTTTTCTTTAATGAATTATATTCTTTGAGCATATATTATATCTTTTTATATTATATATATATATACTCAATTTTAATTATTTCAATGAAAAATAAAAATAAGCCAACCCCAACTGTTCTACTAAAACAAACTAAAAAACGAAGAAACAAAAAACAGTTATCAAACATATTTTTGCTTATAAACGAGAATGTTACCAAATAAGTCCTAAACTTTCGTCTTATCTATAAAAATTTAATACTCAACCCCTAAAGATATCAAACGAAGTAAAAAAGAAAAGACAGGACGAAACTCTTACTTGAGAATTAGAACACACAATCTTTTGATCGAAAATAGATAATTTAACCAATTGAATTAGGTTTAGTAGGTTTAGTAGGGAGAAAAACAACAAAATACCATATAGAGAGAATACTGCTACCGCACTCTTTTCATTCAAATGCCATATATAGAGAGAATTTAGGAATTCCACCAAACACACATTCATGACAATTCTTCAAT